CAGGTTTCCACCAGAATATTTCTATAACAGACAATATTTTCATTACCCAGAAAAGTGTTGAACTAAGTACAATAATCAAAATATTCAAACATGAAAATGGGGGATTGAGGATAAAACTTTTCTGAACAAGGCATGCAATAAAATTTTATTTTGAACAAATTTAACTTATTAACAACCACTGTCACCTTAAGAGATTATCGCCAACTACACAATGTGTGCTTACTGAGCAGATAAATTAGACTTAAGCTTACACCTAACTTGCGCAATGAGGTTGAGTTAAGTAATTAAGGTGCAAACTAAAAAGACGCAGTACGAGTGTGTTATTCAGAATGACATGCGCAACACACAACATTCAACAAAAAATTGAGAGTGAACTTCTTTAAACCCAATACTGTGTCACTGTGCTCGTATTTTTCAGCACATTATATACTAGGAACAAGTACAAACATGGGTTCCAGTTCGTTAGCAGTAATAATAATCGGGGTACCTGCTACATCTAACGTAAATAATTTAGTGTAATTGGCTACTTACTAGTTCGATACCTGGTTTGATTATTAATTAATGTTTTAACGTTGTGTAAAGGACACAGATATAACCAATCTATACTATACATTGATCTACATAAACAATATTTATTCAACTGTAACATAAAACGAAACCGAAAAAAAAACACGCGTTGTCATACGCTGGTGTAATGCGTACTTCCGTCTTGTCGACATGTTGTCATTGGTGTCGATAAAATGTTCATCGACAGGTATTTTCTCTTGAAATCGATCGCTTGTAGAACACGAGTAATTTCCAAGGTTATTAGAACTAGGTACCTGTGAAAAGTACATTCTTCGTGGTAGACAACATACATAAGGCTTTCCATAAACGACCACAGTGGATTAAAGTAGGTTGTGCCGCTTTATGAAAACACGATTACAATCAGGACTGTCGAACTGCCATCACATGCCGATTTATGATATGAAATAAGTTTCACTGTACGCAAAAACAGTAAAAGTGAAAACTTGCAAGTTGTGTGACAGCTTGATAAATAGTCATTAATAAAGAGGCAACATTGCAAATTTCTGTGGAAATATTTTTGTATGATTTTTTTTTGATATAACTACCTAAATGATATAAAATAAATAAATAAATGAATATTTAAAAGTGACAAATTTCATTTTCAACGTAACTCCTCTTTTTTCCAGCAAAACTAAAAACCCAAAACTTTTTTCGCCCCTGAACTATACCATACGCAATTATGCACAGAATTTTTAATCAGTTTTTGAGATTATATAAAGATTCTATAGCACCAATGTTGACGTGACCGTGTTTCCACAACTGTTGAAAAAATTCTCTCCGTTTTGATCTAAAAAGGCGATTTATTTTTGTCATGAAATGCCAAATAATAATAAATGTGCAAATATTTTGTTGACACTTTTATTGTAGTCGGTAAGTTAAATTCGTACTATGTTCTCCTTTGTATTCGATATAATAATCAGAATCCACCAGCTAATCTGCAAAAAAATCAGCAATAATCTGGCTCTCTATGATTAAAATCAGTACGGATTCATAAATCACAGGTGTAGGAGTATATCTCATTTTATGAAAATCAAATTTTATTGGTTTTCGAAAAAGTTGGATATGTTGTAGTCCAGTATTTAGGTTAATCTTTGTAATTATTAAATTCAAGATGCAGAATTGTACAATATTGTAACACATTCTACAAGTTAAATTAGACGTGTGGAACCTGATAAAATCTTCGGAATGCACGTCCTGGCATCGAATATTGAGAAATGCGTATTATGTAGTACAGATTAGAAAACAGGTGAAAAAGCGGGGTATAAAAAATATATAATAAATCAATAAATCTTGTTTTTATTTCTAAAACTCTATTATGTGTAATAGTGAAGTTAAAATCAATGCATTTTGAACATTCAAATTACTGTATCTGTTGATATTCAAGTTGATACTGTACCCAATATCATCTATAACAAATTCAATTTACCTCTCGAAATCTAATATGGATGCAGTTTATATTGGAAACTATAAAGTGAAATTGGCAACTACAGGTTGTAACTGGGAATATACATTCTTTTTTGCTGTAGCTCCGTTAAGATCTATGTATTTTCACAGAGATGTTGAACAGCGAAAAGCAATAGCATTTTTTTATATAAAATGTCAGACATTTGATATTTGAACAAAATAAATTGCAAAATTACTACCGGAAACGCTAAACATATCTTACATGCAAACTCAGGCACAAATTAATCTTGGGTCTGCAATTTTCCTTCACAAATACCCGCAGCAACACTGTTTATTATAATGACAGAACAAATACTATAATGGTTTTTCGTACATTACATTACTGCGTAAAATTCATGGTAATTACCTATTAAATCTTTTACTTTTAACATTATGGTTATCGTTGGATTTCAAGTATCTCAATAAATCTCAGTTATGTCAGGATTTTATATTTCGCCTCAAAAGCATGCTGATAATACTTCTGAAAGAGTCCAATACTCAGTACTATGTTTTAAAGAAGTTTAAATTTTGTACACTTTTTGCGAATTTAACAGCATTAATATCGGACGCAGTATACTAAACTGATGAATGATGAAATGTATATGTTACGAATATGTGTGTCATCTGTTTATAGAGTCGACTTTAATAGTTACAGAGTCTTGGACAAAACATTTTCAAGCTACTAGCAATAAACAGCTTACTACAAAAACTTTTATTATTCTCTAAGTGGATCATAAAACCAAACACTTCAACTTTTTTCAAACCGAACTACTTATGGCTCTAAAACAAACTACTAGGAGCGAAATTGTACTTTTGTCTCACAGAGTTTGAAGCCTTAAATGGCTCTTCTCTGGAACGATTTCAGGGAATATTTTTGCAAAAGTGTTGTAATTATATACTTCATGAAGAATAATAAAATAATAATCAAAAATCTGGAAAGTGTTTCGTGGATTTCTGGTCCAGCTTCGTTTTGAATATATGACTTTTTAAATTTTTTAAACAGTCGTTGAAAAGTGACTTTTTGTTTCGTCACTGAATGCATGCGTATGATGTTTCTAGGAAAGTTCTCAAGATCTCACAGACATTAGTTATTACTTGATTACGTTACAAGCAAGATACATAATTTACTGTCATAAATTGACAACTTTCCATAATAACTACTATCGAACCTCGTTTAAGGATGCTAAAGGTTTAAATTAAATCGGAAAATATACGCTTTGTATACAATTAACTAACATGTTCTCAACTTAAGGAACGTCAGCTTTTGACAAAAACCGATTACACGGGAAATATTATTTTTGTACCCTACATATGGTTAATAAAGGAGATAAATGTTTTGGGACATTGTATTTCGAACACGCAAGATTTAGTAATTTAAATTTCGTTTTGTTAAAAAATTATGAACCGAATACTCCAAATTAGACGGTTACCAACATTTTTACACGCACTTCCGAGAATTTAAGATTAGGTTCTGTATTTTACAATCAAATATGCTTTTACTGTTTCTAAAGTGACAGATAATTGATTAAACCCAAATAATTTGTTATTTGTTGAAGACTGTTAAGAGCAATTCAAATTAAATACCCTAAAATTTACGGTTTCAGTAATTTAATGTTTTATTGAAGCTATATACAGGGTGAGTGACTAAGCGCGCGTTTTTCGATATCTCAGTAATTATTGGAAATACAAAAAACCGAGTAAAGTTGTACGGTTCTTTGTATTGCACACATTAAAATTATTTTCAGCAGCAGAGTGTTCCGCTTTTGAAGGATAACACACCCTAGATATTTTCAAGTACTATGAGTGGTCTCTTCTTAGACAGATAGTAAAAAAACCCTATTGCGATTTTTTGTGGAACCCTATAATGTAAAAAAAAATCAACAAAATTAAATAACATAACAACCTTATTACAGAATATAGAAAAACAAATATAGGGTGTTTCATTAAAAAAGCTAAGTTATGTTACGCTTCTAAAACAAAGCACTATACAAAGAACCGTACAATTTTGGTATTTGATTTTTTTCTATTTTTAATAATTAATGAGATATCGAGGAGCACGCTTTTAATGACTCCGCCTGTATACTCATAATTACCACGATAAATTTACCACATATGTATTTGCATTTTGTCAATAAAAATTAATTTACCGTAATGTGTATTTTTTTATATTATTGCATGCATACTTAAAACTTTTGTCGATAAAAAAAAAATATGCTCGCTAATAGTTAATTACAGCAAATTGGGTAAAGTCATTACGTTTAATAATAATAATATGTAATTGTATGTAATAGTTTTTTTTATTGATAACTAAATTATGCTTGTAAATGTACTCATTGAACGCTTGTTAATCTCGTAGGATCAAATTTATTTCATGCAAATTTTGCAACTTTAGATCAGCGATTTTTTTCCTCCAATTAATATCCTCCAGTGGTTAAAGTATCTTCACGGTCAAACACTATCTACAGAAAAAAGTTATTTTTGTATATTAAAATAGGAAGCTTGTAATCTCTGAAAAATTATCTCTTCCGCGCCCACAGTTTTGATGCGCGCATAAAAACCGCTGATTATTGTTTACCATCAGCTGTCGCTTGTGATTGTTGTGTTCTATTGTGATCGCAGATTTAAATAGTTGCGGCGATCTTAGTATAGGTTAATTATTCCCTATTAAATCCAGCCAAAATGCCGATTTTAAATTTTGAAATAATGAAAAAAAAAAATAAACAAAGTACACGTTGCCAAGAATAACACAAACATTCGAAGTTGTCATCGAACACCGTAACACACACTTGAAATCTTGTTCCACAGCAGCCCCACTCTACGGTACTCGAGCGGTTTCCTGAATGAAATCCTGTTACGCCGAAGAAGCAGATCTTATCAGCATTTTGTCAAATTAAAAACTTAAACTGCAATTACAAGAGTCTGTGTGCGTGGCTCCGGCGTCACGTGTCCGAGGAAAAGCAACAGCAAGAGTGGGTAATGGGGTTAAATACCTGGCACGGAGAAAAGCACGAAGGCGCAGAAGGGTATGAAGACGACAAAAGCGAGCACCAAGAAGCAGTTGCGACGTCTCAGGGGGGACATGGCGAAGTTAACCACTGCCATGTCCCACTGTCACACACACAACGACCCTCTCATCACCAGAGGAGGCCCCAGCAGGAATTGTTTGTACTCGCCACGACAAAACCAACGTGAAGACGGCGCCCGTGCGGACACAGCTTACCATTAACGCACGCCTTTGCAGAGACTAAATCCGTACGGCATAGCGGACCGTACTTATGGATGGACGTCTACATGAACACGCGGTCGCGAATGTTGGCGAGCAACTCCGAGCCGCGCCTTCCAGACGCGCGCACATATTGATCTGCTGGGGTTCTCACGACGGAGATGGTGTCAGTGGTGAACGCGCGACGGTGGCTTTATAAATTAATTGACGGTTTTATTACGGGGGATTATTTTTCGATTGAAGGTTGAGACGTGCCACTCAAGGCATCCTCTTGCGGGTGTTGTAAAAGCGAATGATGTGGCATGGTTGGGTTGGAATTTTTGTCACGCTGTCGATTTGGGACTGATTTTCTTATTATATCTCCAGCGGTATCTCAACGTTTGAGCTCGCAAAAGCGAGCCCGCGTCAAGTGAGCGCGGACAAATGAGCGATACATGAGCGGAGAAGCGTTGTCAATTTGGAGAGTTCGTTATCAAATGTACCGATTTCGTGAACACGTGCAATAAATATGGAAATAAAATTGGTGACTAAAAGCTAGCGACCGATTTTCTTATTACTTTGTATATTTCTGTAGTCATGAAAATCAGCGGATAATTATACCTACTACACATTCGAATGAGGTATGTTGCCGCTCGAGGCTTTCCGAGTTCGGCGAACTTCGTGAGTCCGAAATTATATTTTTCGTTCGTATATTATACAGTATTTTTGATTCGATTGGACTGCAAGAAATAAAATAAATTTGAATAAAAATAATTTTGCTGACACTTAACTGTTTTACCATAAAATGACACAATCGAATTGTAATCTTTTTCGATTATTAGTGTTGCCCATAAGTGGTTTTTCCAAACAAGGATTTCAGTTTTTCTTAACTTTATACAGGGTTACCATAAAGTAACGGCAAGTAAGCCTTTCATTTTACTCTCCAAGTTTTGGCATTGGTCAAAAAAAATTTTACGTCAAATTTTTAAGAGTTATGATCTCATCAATGATTTTTTTTAAATGAGACGCTATAATTTTGGTCGGATGAAAATGGAGAAAATCAATAACAAACTGAATATACATGATATGAACATGATGAACACGAAACAAAATGAAATCCAGATAACTAAAAATTAAAACAAAAATCTGTCAAAGAGAATCGCTTTTGTCAATTTCTTAAGTTGATTTAATAAAATAAAGAATACTTGTCGTCTGTATGTAACCCGGTAGTTTGTGACTTGTAAACTTGTTAATTATTATTATTATTATTAAAGTATAATTCGAACTGAGGACGAATCCTATTTAGTCCGAATACAAGTAGCGAAGAGTTGATTAACTATAGATTAAATAAAAGTATACATATACAAATATACAATACCTATATGTACGGCCTGTTACAAAAAACAGTACGTTAATTTTAACTGGTAATAGAACTAATCCAAAGCAATTAAGTTTGTAAATAACATTTTGTCGTAAACCCTTTCGTGATTGAGTTAAAATTAGTCAAAGATTTAATACAAATTCACCTACCCGCGCATGGCTAACAAAGCAGTTTCTTGTGGAGAGGGATAAGAAATGAACACAACACGGAACAAAAAATGTAAACATTTGAATGCAAGGCTGTAATAGGTAATGGAGGCCTACCTAGAAATCGCCAAAAACTTCATAATAAATGTTCAAAGTGGCCACCATTATTGTCTAGACAACACTGAAGACAGCGACGAAATGAGTCTTTGACTCTTTGTAACATAATTTCATTGTTTCGAATTGTTTCAGCAGCACGTATCACTCGTTTCCGCAAAATTTCAAGAATATCAAAATTCTTTATGCTTGCACTGCATTTCCCTGGGCTTCTCCATACACTAGCACCATGTCCGTGTATTCACTGTTCGAATAGCGGGGCATAACTTCACACAACGAAAAGTGAAAACACCGCAAAGGAAAGTCAAAAAGGAACTAACTGTTTTGAAGCTGATAAAACGTTATCGCTATCCAACTCGCCAAAAAATTGGGTAAAAACAAACACTTTCCACCTGATGTATCGAAAGTGAAATTCACGGTCAACAATTGAAAAAATGCATGGCCGGCTCGTTAAATAATGGGGGGTAAAACTGTGACAAAAAAATTCGTTTTTGAAAAAATGCCAAATAGAAAAATGTTTTCTGTTGACGAGTTCTGTTCGTGGTTAAATTTAAAGTACTTTTTTCTGTAACACGTTGTATAAGAAAAAGAAAAGAAACTATATCGTGATGGTCATATCTATTTTGAAAGATGTTCACATTTGGCGCATTAACTATGTCTTGAGTCAAACTGTTCTATGAAGGCACAATGCGATTGCTAAGAAAATTTGTCCTGCATTTGTTGGTAGTTCTTTCTCGAATTAGATTAAAGTTGTGGCGGCGCAATCGTTTGTCAACATTGACGTGGTATAATTGTAAAAAGTCAACAGCCAATTGATGGTGAAGGATCTTGTATGTAAAGATTGAATCGCCACGTATCTTCCTGTCGTAAAATGGTGTCAGGTTAAATTGGGAGAGTCTTTGGTTGTAATGAGGCCTGTCTGATTTAAATAGCATTCGAGTTGGCCTTTTTTGGACTTTTTCGAGAAAGGGTGTAGATGTTACATATGGTTTTCTTACGTTTGGTACAGAAAATTCTCCAAATGCTTGTGAAAGCAGATATAACTGATTATTTGCTTTCTTGCTAACACTGTTAATATGTAGTGACCAAGATAAATTTTGTGTTATTATTATTCCGAGATCGCAATGAGATGTTTCAATATTTAAATATTGCCCATTTAATATCTATTTATAGCAAGAATTATTTGAACCCAAATGTAAAATGCTAGATTTATTCTTGTTTATAGGAAGTAGCCACGTTTCACTCCATTTATCTGCTACCTACAAATCTCTTTGTATGACTGCATGATGTTGTGAATAATTGTAAATTTTTGTGTCGTCAGCAAACAATGAACAAATAGATACCACCAGCGAGGGAGGCTCAGCAGTACACAATACGAATAATATGGGACGCAGAACCGATCCCTGTGGCGACATGTGTGTTACTTGGAATCTACGATACGAGAGAAAAATATTGATTCATCCCAATAAGATACCCTTTATGCCGCATGACTTCAATTTTAAAAGTAGCCGTCGAATAGGCACCTTATCAAAGGCTCTAGAGAAGTCTAGATAGATAATGCCTATAGACAGCTTATCATTTAACGCCAAGGACCAGTCATTAACGCATTGTAAAAGATTAGTAGTTGTCGATCTAAAGGCTACAAAACCGTGTTGTTTCTTGGGAATCAACTGGTGGGTTATGCAGAAAATATTCACGGCTTCTTTAATTATTTGTGCCATGAGTTTGCAACAAACGGTACTTCTGAGGGTCAAGCTTGTCGTCTTTCTTGAATATTGGAGTGGTTATTGATACTAGTCATTCGTAAGGAACTTGGGAGTGAAAAGATCAAGTCATAATCAATGACAGTGGACCTACTACTTCTGACGCACATTCCTTTAAACTAATTGAGGTGATATTGTCTACTCCAGGTGCTGAGTTCTTATCAAGTGTTGCAATATAGTAATTTATTTTTTCTTTGGAAAAAGTAACTTGATCAAGAACTGCATGGTTAAGCGCAGATGGTATTTTTGGTAAGAGTGCAGGTAATTCTACAGTGTATGATTGACATAGGCAGTCAGCCAGAATATTGGCAATTTCAGTTTTACTATTGCATAATTCCGTATCACCTCTGCGCAGCATTGGGATACTCACTTTTGATGCTATATGTTTCGACGAACATGTTTGAACAATTTCTTAGAGTTATTACTGGTAATGATTTTTTCTTCGTATGAGATCCTAGCTGATCTGATGCTCTTTGAAACATAGTTGGAATATTGTGTTGTGTGTTATTCTAAAGAAATGTTTGCCGAAGATGCTTCTTATACCTAGTTAAACGAATCAAGGATGGTATAACCCATATTATTTTTCACCATTTGTGATCGTATGTGTTCCTCTATCGTTGTCTTGAAAGTTTTGTGGAAAATTTCCCACTGGTCGTTGGTGTTATTTATTTTGAAATGTGAAGCTCAGTCTATCTTCTGCAGGGAGTTTCTGACCTCATTCCACTTAACTGTGTTTCTTACTTTGGACTGATTGTTTAAAGAAGTATCAAGAACAATTTGGAGGTCAGTAGCAAGAACAACAAAGGGGGAAGGTATTCTATTTCTAAGAATAACTGAGGATCATTTGTTAAAAATAAGTTAAAAATAATGTTATTACTTTAACTAATTTGCATTCGTCACTGACCGATTTAAGGACCGTTTTGATAACATCGACAGCGGTATTGGTATCTTCAGTCTGACGTTGAGATGAGTTTTCCTTGTTTTTTGTTTGTCTATACTTCTGTCAAAATTGCATAATGATGGCTCGTTTAACCGAAAAAGAACGTATAAAAATTCTAATGATGGTAAGTTATAGCGACAGGCTTCGAAGTCACGAAGAAGTGTGTGTTTTGTTCAATGAAGTACATTTTGAGCGACCTCCAATCGCTAGAAGCACAGTTACAAAATTTAATTAAACAGAAAACGTGAGAGATGTTCCAAAATGTAGAAGACCTCAAATAAACGATAACACCATAAATATCTTGTTATCACTGGAAGAGAACCCCCATGTAACAGCGACGGAAATGGCTTTACAAAAAAATGTTAGCCAGTCGCTTGTAGTAAAGTTTTTAAAAAAAGACAAACTGCATCCATATAATAATAATAATAATAATTTCAAAATATCTACAATTATCGATAGAAATGAAATCCATGTTGAATCTTAAAAAAATTTCAATTCTACCCCTAGTTATCTCTAATGTAGGTGTAGTTCCAAATAGCTTAGTTGAGAATTTAAAGTCTTTGAATTTGAATGATTCAATAATTGTCAAAATTCAAAAAGCTGTTTTGTTAGGAACATGTCATATTGTCCGTAAGTTTCTTGAACAGTCTGATCATGTCAGTCAGATTAGATTAGCACCAGTAGATCAGAGTAGTGTAGGTCACTTTCCAAGTGATGTGCGGATAAATGGTCGGTAGTTACGCTAGACTTTTGGGGATGGGATGAG